CATCTGTCTTGGGAAAGGAGACCACTTGGGAGGTTTTTCTGACGGCGATCTTGGCCCAGGGTGGCCTGGGTTTGTCCCGCGCCGGGAAGCCCTCCGCCGGAGAGCGGCGCCCAGCCTGGCCCAGCCTCACGGCCCAGGTGTGGGCCGCCGCGTGTGTAGGGAGAGGCTGGGAGGGTCCAGCTTGCTGATCGCACCTGACTGGCTTCATTAGTGGGCTGTCTGGACAGACGTCGGACATTTAGCTCCCAGGGTTCCTGTTTGCTGGGAGCAGGAAGTGGGGCTTCTGAGCGAGAAAGACCTAGGGGTGGGGTCCGGCCGTGCCTGCCCCGAGCTTGGTGGCCCTGTGCAGGCCACTTGACCTGTCTCAGTTTCCCCTCTGTCCAAAGGGGTATTGATTCTCACCTTGAACATGTATGTTGTGATCTGAAAAGATAAAGTGTAAATGTTAGGAAGATATGGGATCTTCATTCCAGAAAGTTTTGTCAACTCTACCCACATAATTAAAAAACAAAACAAAACCGTCCAATTCTTTTTCCTTTCAGGGAGCCGCCGTGGCCCATGACATGGTGCCCATGAGTAGGCCTCACCCCCAGGGACAGTTTTTGTACGAAGAATCATACGATTCCCCTGGGGAAGTAGAGGGCCCCGGGCTCGTGCTCGCTGGAGTCCTCCGGCGAGACCACCACCTAGACCCGGACCCTGGCACGGGGAGAACAGTCCTCCAGCCCGAGACTGCGCAGAAAAGGTCCCAGACGACCCTGTGCGTAGGAGTTTTATCTGGAGGCCCATTCAGGGCGCCCCTCCCTTCTCCTGGTTGCTTGGCTGACTGGCCTGGACTTCGCTGGGTTTACGGTGTTGGGCCGTTTCAGGCCACGACGGTGCCGGCCAGTGAGCAGACGCAGACGCAGTGCAGGTGTCTGCGGACCTGTCGTCCAGGCAGGTGTGCCGGGGGAGGTGACAGTGCTGAGCAGAAACATCCATGGGGCTTCTGATGAGCAGGGGAGCCTGGCCTCGCTCACAGCGAGAGAAGTAAAGAGATGGGATCGGTACTGGAGAGTGCCGTGGAGGACACGGAGAAGGAGCTTCTGCTCGGGGTCCTGGCCTCGGGAGAGAGTTCAGGGGGGCCTGCCTGAAGGACGGAGGGGAAGAGGGCGAGCAGCCCCGAGGGTGGGATGGGAGGGGGAGGGAAGGGCCTCCCGAGCTGAGGCTGGGAGTGGGCCGGCCGACCCCTGTGCACCTGGCAGAGCAGGCCACGTTAGGAACATTGGACTCTTCTTGAAAGAAACAGGAGCTGTTGACAAGAAGTGGTGATACTTGCATTTTCAAAGGGATTCAGGGCTGCATTTTGAAATGCAATCAGGTGACATATTAGGGCCCTGGCAGCTGTCCGGGTGGTGAAAGCAGAGGCGAAGGGAGAGGACAGTGAGTCCACGTGGGAGCTGGAGCGGCAGGACGTGTGCGGGGGTGTCGGCAGCTGTCTTGGGGACGCTGCTGACAGGAGGGAAATGAACAGGCCTCTGGACGTTGTGCACAGGAAGATTACTGCATCTTTCTCAATCTTTTTGTCCTCACCTGAGGACATTTTTGCACTTATCTTTAGATGGGGGGGGGGGACATCGATGCAAGAGAGACACATCGACTGGCTGCCACCCACACGACCCCAGTCGGGGCTGGGGACCAATTGCAACCGAGGTACGTGCCCCCAGCGGGAACTGAACCGGGTCTCTCTGGTCCGCGGGCCAACGCTCCAACCGCTGAGCTAAACTGGCCAGGGCTGCTTTATCTTTTTTAAAAAACATGTTTTCATTGATTTTTTTTTTTTTTTTAGAGTGAGAGAGAAGAAAACATTGATGTGAGAGAGAAATATCGATCCATTGCCTCTAGTGTGCACCCTGGCTGGGGACAAACCCGAAACCCAGGGCGTGTGCCCTGACCGGGAGTCAGACCAGTGACCTTTCAGAGTGCGGCATGGCCAGGGCAGATGGCTGGGTCTTAGAGCCGGTGCATCCAGCCGGGACATGGAGTCATTTCCTCCACAGTTGTTTTTTTATAAATATAATTATATGCTGTGTTAGTGAATTTAAGAAATAAACATTGTGTTTTTAGGTTATGATATATCCTGAGTGGAACTGTACTTGCTGTGACTATAATTACAGCAATCTTTACTGATTATATTTATTTCAGAATACCACAGTTTGAAAGCCCTTTAATTATAACGTAATACGTATTTAAAATACGTTTGCTATAATTATAGAATAATTTAAATGCATGTTTACAAGATCAGATAACACTTGGCTCTGACCACTTTGCTTTCCGATGTAAGTATACTTTCACAAGTCAGTGCTATTAATTACAGATAGACGTGTGCCGTCGAACTTGTGAAAGGAAGTCGAGATACACGTTTTTATAATTTCTTAGAGTTACAGGCTGATGATAAGAGAGCTTGCTGCGGCCCGGCCGGTGTGGCTCAGTGGTTGAGCATCAGCCCCTGCACCAAGAGGTCACCAGTTTGATTCCCAGTCAGGGCACCTGCCCAGGCTGTGGGCCAAATCCCCAGTGGGGGGCGTGCAGGAGGTGGTCAGTCGATGTTCTCTCTCATCGATATTTCTCTCTCTCTCCCTCCCTCTTCCTCTCTCTCTAAAATCAATAAAGAAAAAAAATTTTTTAAAAGAGAGATTGCTGCTATAATCAGAGCACATTGAAGCTGTTTTGGTCACACATTATGCATTTTTGTTTTTTATTGATTTTTAGAGAGACAGGAAGGAAGATGGACAGAGAAAGAGAAACATCGATCGGCTGCCTCCTGCATGCTCCCTACTGGGGATCAAGCTGCAACCTGGGCACGTCCACTGGCTGGGGATTGGCCACCCTTGGGTGCACAGGATGATGCCAAACCAGCTGAGCCACGTGGCCAGGGCGAGCATTATGTGTTTTAATCTACTTTCCCCCCGACTCCCCTCCACCTTCTCCACTGAACCTTGAGAACATTCACCACTGTGCCTCACTCACCACGGTGCACCATCAGTGTGTGTGGATGCAGGTGCACAGCCAGCGTTTTACATAGTGGGGGGGACCCACAGTCTTATATGGGGATAACCAGGCTTCCCTCCTGGAGCGTGTGTCTGTGTGATGGTGGGTGTGTGTCCTCCAGAGGGAGCTCTGGTCCCCCCAGCAAACCCCCGGAGGGAGGAGAAGGAGGAAGGAGAAGGCTTGTAGGCTTCCTGTCCATGAACCCTCGGGGCGCCTCGGGGCTGGCGGCCAGCTTAGTGTGGGGTCGGCCCCGCCTGCCCCCTCCTGGCAGGAATGGAAGCAGTGGTGGAGGCACCGTAGGGCCTGACAGAATGTCCCGGGGAAGACGGCGACTAAAGGGGGGAACGGTGAATGGGTCACCTTGAAAACTCATGGCAGCTTCTCAAGCAGCAAATTCTCACCGATGTACTTGTTGGTAGAGTCCCTCCGCGGGGTTCCGTGCCGCAGGTGTCGTACCCACCCTCCTGGGCGCTCACTTGACCAGCGAGTTATACATGCGAGTGTTTACTGCCCTTGACGGGCATCTGAGGCATGTTCAAGGGTGACCTCCGACTGCATGTGGCTTTCCCTTCATGTGCTGCCTCAGAAGGGACTTGCTTAACGAACTCCAACGGCCCCTTCTGCTGGGACATTCTCAAAGCCTGACCTTTTGCTCCAAATCAAACCTTCTCATCTGCTTATGAGAGAAAGTAGAGAATATATTTTTATATTGAAGGCAATTTCCCCTGACCCTTTTCTTTTCAAACCCAATGATGCATTGCATTTAAAGTTCTCTGTGTTATTCTTAAGAGGGTGCATGGTGACAGGTCAGGAGCCTTCCCAGGAGGCTGGGGGCATTTATTCATGGGCTTCAGTCCAGTGATAGAGGGACCAGGCTGTCCTGGCTCTCTGCCTTTTCCCTGGATGGCCCTGGACAAGTCCCTCCTCTTCCCTAGGCCTCGGCCCCACTGAAACACCAGCAGGTGGCCTTGGATAACCCCCAAGGCCACCTCCGTCTCTGAGATTCTGTTTGAAAAGATGAAGCTTTCATGAGCACTTGTGTGCATACCTGGCACTGTGCTGGGGCTGGGGGAGCCCACGAGCCCGCCCTGGGGAAGGCTAAGAATTCTTTCTCTGCCGCGGATGACAGGTGAAGCCCTCATGGGGAGCCCAGTGTGGAAGCTCAGCAGCGGGTCCCCCAGGTGGTCACCCTCATTCCCACCTACCGATCAGGCCTGCAGTAGCCACACCCCCGACACACGGCCTGTTTGCCGAAGTCTGTCTTCTAGGGCAGCTGACTTTCTCTGGAGGGCCAGACTGGAAAGTGTTTGTCACAGAGACCCTGCAGCTGTAGCAAGAGTGGGCCCAGTCTGTATGTAAATGATGGGCCTGGCAGTGTCCTGGTAAAACTTCGTTTCAAAAGACAGTTTGCCGACCAAATTCTAGAACTGTTTGAAAGGTTAGCACCCTGTCTTAAACTCTAGAAATGGTTGCCTCCACACTGGGGTCTTGGACCTGGCTGCACACGGGCCCAGCCCAGCACTGAGAGCTGATGCCTGCCAGCCCGCCTCCTGGGATGGACCCTTGTGTGCAGACAGGGGCTCTCGGATCAGGTTGGCCCGGCAAGGCCAGCTTGGGCCCGTTTCGGGGAACATCCACAAGCCCTCACCTCGTTCGCCCCTTCGCCTCTTCAGAACGCTCCCAGAGGAAGGAATACCGTCTGGCTGCCATGTCCCGGGGCTTTGTTGGCAGCAGGCTCTGTGGGGTTGCCCGAGGCAAGAAGTCAGGAGTCGTCAGCCAGAAAATCCTCCTTCGAGGAACAAGCCAGGGTCATTGAGCACTGGACGTTGGAAATGGCTAGTCCTAGAAAAACAGCCCCTTAAATCCTGTCTCTAAGTCTCGGGAAATTGTGGTTTCCACTCCAGCACCCAGGAGAAGAGAGGCTTTGAGCTGGCATCTCAGCAGCCTGCGGGGCTCTGTTCTGTTCGCAGGGCGAGGTGACATCCAGCCTCAGTTGGACAGCGCTCTCCAAGATGTCAACGATAAGTATCTCTTGCTGGAAGAGACAGAAAAGCAGGCAGTGCGGAAGGCTTTGATCGAAGAGCGCGGTCGGTTCTGCACCTTCATCTCTATGCTGCGGCCCGTGATTGTAAGTTAGTGGAAGGTTCCAGAAGGCCTGCAGCGCCCGTTAGGAGGAGACTCTCCTTCTTTATCTATCACCATCCTCGAGTCACCGAGAATCTGCTGAGTCGGGAATTGCCGTCGGGGTTGGACGGTTTGGTTCTTAGCTCCAGTTTTTCCACTTACCTTTCCTCCCTGAGTCGAGAAAGCGTAACAAGTGGTTCTCAGAGTGTTTCTCGGGCCGGCAGCATCACGTGGGAACCAGTTAGAAATGCACATTCTCGGGCCCCACCCAGACTGACCGAATCCCAAACTCCAGGGGTGGGGCCCAGGCACCCCTGTTTCAAACAAGACCCTGGGGGATTCTGTGACCCACTGGCCACGCTGATATCGAGTCACAGGGAGATTCATGTGGGAAGGGCCTCAATAAATCAAATAAGCTAATTTTTTTAAGTGTATCATTTGCAAACCGTAATTGGAAACGTCTCTGGAGGCATTCTTAAAGCCAGTAAGAAGATACCAGCTTTTTCCCCGAGCCCTAGCAAATGCCCGAACACAGTCATTCCCGAGTGTGAACTTTTCCAGGGATCGTTCTTGCCTAGGCCCACAGCCCCAGCTTGGCACCTGCATAAAGGGAGAAACTGTTTCTCCCACAGTCCCGTCTCCTCGCTTCACATGCCATTCATTAAGTTTGTAGTAAAAACAGTCCGCTCCGATAATGGCAGATTCCCTTTTCCTTCCCACTTCCCAAGAGGGGTACTTACCCACTGTTGAACACACGTGTCACAGTGATCTGTAAGGTCTAGATCAGACTATCTACAAATCGTGTCATTGTTGGAGCTGAGTGACTTCAGAGGGGATCCCCCCAACCTGTGGAGGGGCTGGGCTGCGGGCCCTGTGAGGAGACACAGGAGGAGACACAGGCAGACCATCCCAGCCGCTCTGTAGCCCCACACTCTTCGAGGAAGGCCCACAGTCCGCTCTGGCCTGGCCTCTGTCCAGAGCTCACAGTCCGCTCCGATAATGGCAGATTCCCTTTTCCTTCCCACTTCCCAAGAGCAAGGGCTGGTAGTGCCTTCAGCCAACATGAGCCAGTCCAGGGAGCCTTTTCTAAAAAGTTGAAAGGGCCAGACAGTGACCCTAATAAAAGCAGTTGGACCAGGACAGTGAAGTGACTCGCTGATGACGACGATGTGTTTTGAATCGCTACCCTTCAGGAAGAAGAAATCTCAATGCTGGGGGAAATAACTCACCTTCAGACCATATCGGAAGACCTGAAAAGCCTGACCATGGACCCTCACAAACTGCCCTCCTCCAGTGAGCAGGTAGGAATGCTGGCTAAGCTCTCAGGAGAGCAAACCGAAGAGATGAGGGTCAAGGTCACAAGGGTTCCTCGAGGCATGATCCTCTTCAAAATCACAGTCGCAACTCACACTGTTTGTATATGGCGACTGGCAACTACCGTCGCTCGCTGTCAGCCAGCACCTGCGTGTGCTCCGACACATAGACTTCCTCCGCTAATCGTCCCCGTTAACCCCGGTTTTACAGAGAGGACACGGCACTGGGCGGAGTCACTTAACCAGGTTCACCTAGCTAGTTAGTGGTAGAACTGAGACTTGAATCCAGTGGTCAGTTTCCAGAGCCTGTGCTCTTAACCGCTGGGTCCGTCCACCCTCTAGAAGTACACTCACGACGGGTGTGGGTTGGTCATCGTTTGAGCCGTTCTAATTAAGTGATGCATGCGGGTCTCTCGTGAGGATGATGGCATTTCTTTGTGTTTATTATTTGGCTCGTGTGACATGAACACCGTATCCAGTGGGAAGAGACTTTCTGGGGAGACAGCTGATGAATCACACATCGGCTTTTGCCCTTTGTCTAAAGTTCTTATCGCCCCCTTGGAGAGCCAGCGCAGAAGGCACATTGGGGAGCTTATGTTTTCCATTCTGTGAAAGTGCTCTGAGACCACAGCATGCACGCAGTCTCTCAGTGAGTAGACAGGGACTGAGCACCTCCTGTAGGAACAGAAGGTAGACCTCGTACTCAAGAAGTTCTTGGTCAAGTGAGGGAGACGAAGTAACTGTGAAAGGGTTGGTTTGCTCCTGATTCTGTCAGATCTGCACTATTGGGTCCTGGTCAAATGTGGGGCACCAGTGACCACTGAAGATCGAACAGCTAAACTGCAGTGTCTCCAAACCCAACCGGCACTGTCTTGTGCTGCCCAAGGGTGCACGTCCTGTCAGCTTGGCCTTGGTGTCAGCGGCTCTTGTGAACCGTTTACCTGTCCCTGTGAATCTCACCCCACCTCTTTTTTTACTGATATTTGAGCCCCGCTCCAAATTGGTTACAGTTTTGTTTGTCTCAGAAAAAGGATTATGACATTCATGGATTAGTAGTGTAGTTCTTTCATTTAAAAAAAAAAGTAACATTTTTTCTGTAATCCCCATCCCTTGATGATGTCAGCATTTTGATGTTGTGGGTTTTCATATTTGACAGCTAATGTTTCCCTTCTCAGCACCTTGCTTACTTACCTGGCTCTGTCTCCTTAGGTGATTTTGGACTTGAAAGGTTCTGATTACAGTTGGTCGTATCAGACGCCACCCTCTTCCCCCAGCACCACCATGTCCCGCAAGTCAAGTGTGTGCAGGTAAGTGAAGCCAGGTGACCCTGCTCGTAGGACAGGTCTTTATGCTCCAGCAGAGCAGCCTTCGCCTTCAGCAGGGCCCACGTCAGACAGGAAATGGCTATGTGATCGGCTCGAAGGACTCCGCAGGACTTTGGTCTCACTCTTTAGTCTCGGGCACAATTTTGGATCAGAAGCAAAACCCCATTAGGCCCAGATGAGTGGACGTAGCTTCCTTGCTTTCAGTTGCGTGTTGTCGAGATTTTCCCACTTAATGAAATCACATTTGATTTTCTTATTCCTGGGCAGACTGACCTGGCTGTTGTCAGAACAGGTGGAGGAAGTGACAGCGGCTTGTGCCCTCAGTTCCCTCCCCCGTTTTATCTGAGGGTTTCGTAAAGTAAATGGAATTCTTGCTCTGTTAACTACTGCCCACCACCACCACTGCCCTTGACAGTACTGTTCCTGACACGCAGAGCCCGCTGGCCGCGCTCCGCCATCTGCAGAACTGACTGGTAGCCGTGTTCTGTTAGAAAACCATGCTCGGCTTGCTGATCACGTCTGGTCTCCTTTCCACGAAGGATGGGGACTTGGTCGTGCATCACTTTCTCGTACACTCCACCTACAATTCTTGCTGTTTCAAAGCTGAGCGAATTCCACTTCCTAGGAATTAGCACCGAGAAGAAAGAGCAGGAGGGACCTGCCGAACCTGTGTGCGGTTATGTCTCTGTACACACCAATCAGTTGTTTGTTTTTGTTTTTTGTTTTTTTTATCCTCACCTGAGGACATTTTTCCATTTTTTGTACAGATAGAGTGGGAGGGAGAGAGAGGAAGAAAGAGAGAAGGAAACATCGATGTGAAAGGGACACATCGAGTGGCCGCCACCTGCACGACCAACCAGGGCCAGGGACAAACTGTTTGTTTGTTCTTAATCCTCACCCGAGGATATTTTTTCATTTATCTTCAGATAGAGTGGGAGGGAGAGAGAGAGAAATCAACTGGTTGTCTCCTGCGTGACCCCGACCAGGGCCGGGGACCAAACCGCAACCGAGGTATGTGATCTTGACCAGAATCGAACCCGAGACTCTGGTCCACGGGCTGACGCTCTAACTGCTGAGCCAAACCTGCCAGGGCCAATCGATTGTTTTGTTTGCCTTTCGGTAACTGAGAAAACTGTCTCCTCTGTGTAAAGCAGAGCTGCACACCTACCTTCCCTTTCCTACGGTGTCAGTTTCAGTAGAAATCACGATGCACAGACGTCGTCGGTGAGCTGGCTGGAGGGGTGGCATGGCTTCACTGTCAGTCCCCAAACGCCCTCATCTGACCGAGTGGGGAGGACAGCAGCACTCAGGACGACTGTTCCCAGCAGCAGTGGCTTCTCCCAGACACAGGATGTCTGTCGGAACTTCCACACCAGAGAGTCGCTGTGTGGAACAGCCCCACGGTCCTTGCCGTCCTCGCTGTCAGAGTTTGCAGTTTGCCAGGACTCTTTCAGGGCTGGGAGCAGAAACCACATGCTTTTAGACCACATACTTCTACAGCTGCCCTTTAACGTCAGTTCTGTTTGGTCCGAGGGACTTTGTTCAGTTTTCGTGATCTGAGTTAGTATACAGACCGGAGAGCACATTGCTTACGACTGGAAATGGAACACAGACAGCATACCCAAAGGGGTGTGTGGTGTTTCAACATCCTGTGTACGGTTTACTCTCAGGCATGCGGCTTGGCATGGATGCCTTCCGTCGCTGAAAGCCGCCTGCTTCTCGCCGGGGGTACTGTGAATGCCAGGCCCACAGACACTTTGACAGAGAGGCACCTGTGGTCAGGGTAAAAAAGCCGTTCATGAAAATATCAGCTTTTAATAAAAGGTCAAACACACAGACACAAACACACTGAGTAGATTTTCTGATGTTCTCGTTGGGGCCCTTGAACCAGGCTGTCTAGGATGAGATCACCTTGAGATGTCCCTTGACACCTGCACCGCCAAAGCCGTGGTGGGCTGGCGACCTTGGTCTCCTGGACCCAGATGGTCCAACCAAGGGCGACACTTGCACCTTCCATCCAGGTCATGCTGAAGCCGTCTGCTGGCGCCTGCCCATGAGATCCGCCTCGTCTCTTCGTGCCGGAGACACCAGGTCCCCTCGCTTTGGTGGCCAATGACCTGGCAGAATTGGGCAGGACTTTTTATTTTATTTTTTTTATCCTCACCCAAGGACATTTTTCCATTTTTTGTTCAGGTAGAGTGGGAGGGAGAGAGAGAGAGAGAGAAACATCGATGTGAAGGGACACATCGAGTGGCTGCCACTCGCACAACCGACCAGGGTCGGGGACAAACTGCAACCGAGGCACATGCCCTTAGCGGGAACCGAACCCGGGTCTCTCCGGACCGCAGGCCGACGCTCTAACCGCTGAACCAAACGGGCCAGGGCGGGCAGGACTTTTTAGAGTCACAGGCCTCGTGCTAAAGATGCCTCATTACACCGTCAGAGAACTAAGTTTTGGCTGTTGGTTTTTACCCCTTGGCTCATATGAAAACAAAAAACAAAAAACCTTTTGTTTACCAGCTTCATGATTCGGCGTTTCGGGGACACATCTTACTGCTTCTGCTGCTTCTGGAGGCAGAGAGCTGGTGACAGTAGATTGTGTCCCCGCTGTGCGCCCTGTTCTCCGCCCCCCCCGCCCCGCCCCCCCTGACCCGCCCGCCGCCCTCTGTCTGCCCGCAGCAGCCTGAACAGCGTGAACAGCAGCGACTCGCGCTCCAGCGGCTCGCACTCGCACTCCCCCAGCTCTCACTACCGCTGCCGCAGCTCCAACCTGGCCCAGCAGGCGCCCGTGCGGCTGTCCAGCGTGTCCTCCCACGACTCAGGATTCATATCCCAGGACGCCTTCCAGTCCAAGTCCCCGTCCCCAATGCCGCCAGAGGCCCCCAACCAGGTAAGGGTGCCCTTGGCTCCGGGAGCAGCCACCAGGCCTGGTGCCCAGACCGCCATCGACGGCTGGGACCACGGAAGGACCTTGGCTAGGACAGACCTCTGCCTTCCGACATGAGAAAACGGGTTTGATTTCTCAACTTGAGATGTGTTTTTCCCCAACGGGACAGCTGCTATAAGGTGGGCTTGCAGGCTGTGCTCACGGCGGTGACTCTGGGGAGTTCTCACACGTGGAGACAGACTCAGAGAGGTTTGGCTACTCTCTGGCATTCCTGCGGGTGCCTGGCTTAGCTTAACGCTGTAGTTCATGGGCATTGGCACAGTCGGGCCGCCCCTTCCCCCATCTCTGGTTCCCTCTGAGATTCCATCATGGGGCCCCGGAACCCGTCTTTGTCACCCTTGGTTTCCTTTTATCAGTTTATGTTGAGAATGAGGGTGACTCCTCACAGCCCTTGCAGCTGATTCTGTTGGCACTTTGCTTCTGGGAGAAGGAGCTGTTGAATCTCTTCAGCCACGTGGAGCTCGACCCAGCCCACCCAGCAGGTCCAGCTGGAGCCAAGGCAGGAGCTGGGCAGGCACCAGAACACCCTCCCCGGCGGCCCTCTTGGCCCCTGTCCCCTGGTGCATGTTTGGCCTCACACTTAGTAAGCAGTGCAGCACAGACACCAGAACGCGAGCGGCCAGTGCCCACATCTGCTGGGTGTGGTGGTTTCGAGCCTGTCCTGTCCATTTGGAGGCTGAACCAAAAGCAGCCTTTGGTCCGAGAGCCTGTGGACTCCGGAAGCCACGTGTTTGTCTCGTTTACCCAAGTTCCAGTGTGCCTGACAGCCCCTGGACATCCCCTGTGCGCCAGGCAGCGTCCCCATACATGAGTGTCCTGCATAGTCAGTCCTGCCAGCAACCGCACAGTGTTGTCACCCCAATTTTGTTGTGGAAACAGAGGCTCGGAGATGTAAGTGACCCGCCTGAGTGACCTGCGGGTCGAGGACCTGGGAAAAGGCTTTCTAACATCAAATCCAGATCCCTTTCTGCTCCATCTTGGTCATAAGGCGGCCTTGGGAGAGTTCGGGGAGCACTTTGGATAGAGGAAGTGCTGAGGTGTTGTGGGAACCTAGGCCAGGAGGCTACTTGCCCGATGTGTCTGACATGAACCGGGGCCTCTCGGCTCCCCACTCCTTTTGGCATTTTTCAGCGGTCCCAGGAGACCATGGCCTCTGCCTGCCTTCTTGGGAGAGAGACTCCACGTCAAACCGAGGTGCTCTGGGCCAAGAGCTGCAGCTTTAAGTCCTAGTGTGCTTGTCCCAGCTGGGTGCTTTGGCTTGCTCTCTGAGGTGCCACCCACCTGTCCCCGTCCATCGCCGCCCTGTGCAGCTCTGAACCACCCCTGTGTCTCCAAGCAGTGTGAATGATCGGCAGGAAAGCAGGATTTCGCGATTCCTGAAGGCTTTTCTGATGCGAGGCATAATTCTGTGTGTTTTTAATCCACTGACAAATTAACGTTGTCTTGCACCCTGACACCCTTTCCAAACAAAGAGGGCCGTGTGCCCCAGCCTGCCTGCAGAAGCTGCGAGTGTGGCTCAGGCTGACGTGAGTTTTCTGCTCCGCGGCGCTGGGGGAGAAGGTGGTGAGCTGGGACTTCTGAAACCTCAGGGCCAGTGCCGGGACGTGCTTGCTCGCAGCTTCGGGCTACTTTCAGTAAGCTCGGGTGCTGCAAAACGTAACAGGAAAATCCATTTTTTTAAAAAAGGACTACTGCTACTCTAAGGTAGAGGGGAAATTTAAGGAAATTGCACCAACCACATAGACCTGACGGCAGAAATGCTCTTTATCTGGGATGGCAGCAAGGGCGCAGACACCCATGTGACCTGCGCTCGGTCACATGGCAGGAACAGGTGTGGAGGGCAGAGTGTGTTCAGAGTTCCCCCGTTTCCCCCCACGCTGCTCTTTTCGAGTTGTGCCTTCACCCAGGTGTGCCCAGGAGTGGGCCTGGTTGTGGGGAGGATCTTGTCTGAGGGCCGCTGACTCTGTCAGCAAGGGGTTCTAGAGAAAAACTGAGCAGAAGTCAGAGGAGACGCGAACCTGCAGTCCTGGAGTGGTTTCCAGGTCCTTTTCAAGTTGAACATACTTGAATTAGAGGAGCCAAAATGAACAGTCCTGGTACATTACAGTAATAACTGACTCGTTTTTTATCCTCACCCATTTTTGCATTTATCTTCAGATGGAGCGGGAGGGAGAGAGGGAGGAAGAGAGAGAGAAACATTGATGTGAGAGAGACACATCCAGTGGTTGCTACCCCACAACCCTAACCGGGCCCGGGGACAAACTGCAACCCAGGTACGTGCCCTTAGTGGGAACCGAACCCAGGACTCTCTGGTCTGTGGGCCGACACTCTAACCACTGAGCCACACCGGCCAGGGTATAACTGACTTGCTTTACACTTGGTTAAGCGCTGTATACATAGACACACACCTACGTATAAAATCTCATTGTATCTTTTTTTTTTCTTTATTGATTTTAAAGGGGGAGGAAGGGAGAGGGAGAGAGAGATAGAAACATTGATGAGCGAGAACATCAATTGGCCGCCTTCTGCATGCCCCCCACTGGGGATCGGGCCCACAACCTGGGCATGTGCCCTGACCCGGAATCGATCCAGTGACCTCTTGGTGCCTGGGTCAACGCTCAACCACTGAGCCACATCGGCCGGATGAATCTCATTTTATCTTCATCGGTTAGATATTATTGATCCTCATTTTAAAGATGAAATGTGAGGTTTAGAAAGATTAAGCCCATGATTCCTTGACTGACAAGAGGCAGAAACGTAACTTAAATCTAAACCTCCAGGCTCTTCCTGGACTGCGCACGACAGGAGCTCGGGGAGCGGCGGCGTCCACCGTGTCTGTCGCCTGTGCTTGCTTCGGCTCCAGAGCCCTGCAGCGTGCGGTGCCTTCTGGTCCCTGCCCTTGCAGGATGGGAAACTAGCACTCCGTCCCTTTGCAGGAACCGTTCTTTCTTTGGAAGGGATGGATAGAAACGGGAGTCCTGCCTCCTAGACAGTGAATACAGGGACAGTTCTGGGGAAATAACTGTAGACCCCAGGGGGGCTGGGCTTATTTGAACAAATGGGATGAGCCAGAGATGGCAGCTAACAGTGAAAAAACCTAAAGCAAATACCTGGGTGGGCCCAACGCAGTACCCACGGGGACCCAGTTTCCATGGAGGAGATGGTCGTTGTCACTCATCCATCCAGGGATCTTGAGCACCTGCCAGTACAGGACTAGACACACACAAATCAGGGTCCTGGGGGTTACAGTCTGGTGGTCCAGACCTTAACAGCCTGTGTGGGTGCAGCTTTGGGGAAGAATAACCCTAACACTCTGCTTCTCTCATCCTTCCCTCTTCTGTGTGTACATGTCTGTCTCTGTGTGCGTGCTCTTCCCCGCCCCCACCTTTTATTTATTTTTTAATTTTACGGTTCCTTTTTGGTGGTGTGTGGTCTGGGTTCTGTGGTCCCCTCGTGTGGCCCCTCCCTGCTGCAGAACTCATCCAGCTCAGCCTCCTCGGAAGCCTCCGAAACCTGCCAGTCAGTGAGCGAGTGCAGCTCGCCCACCTCAGTCAGCTCAGGCTCCACCATGGGCGCCTGGGCCTCCGCAGAGAAGGTGACCGCCGGGGTCCCAGCCACGGAGGCCCCGCTTCTCCCCACCCCTCCCCTGCCCGCTGCTCATGTCGCAGGCGCTGGCCCCGGGAAACATCTGCACCAGGAGCTTGAGGACAGGGGGATGAGGCCGAGGGCGTGTACTTGAGGGGTGTCTGGCTCCTGAGCCACGGCCGTGAGCTCGTCCTGAGGGAGAATGAGGCTATGGGGGAACTCAGAGGTGTGAAGGCTTCTTCCCAGAACAGTGTCTGTGCTCATCCACCCCCCCTCCTCCTCCTGAGCACCCCACCTACTGTGACCTCCATGGCACCATACCGTTGGACGTGACATTTCACTGCGTCAGAGGCTGTGTGCTTTTCCGCTTTTTAGTTTACAAACCGCCCCCATTCACCCCAATTTGGAATCTGCTTCTGAACAGTGTGAGTTCAGAAACCTAGCATGAACAGATTCAGTTGAAGATGCTTTAGAATTTTTAAATGTGCAAAATGAGGTGAGCACCTCGAAAAGATGTTTTGTTAGTTCAAAAGCCATCAAGAATGTTACAGATGCAGGACGCCGATCAGTTTCCAAACTCTTCTCAGATACAGATGAAACCTTTCCTCCACTGAATACTCACAGTGTGTCAAGTAAATAATGCGCGTCCTTTGCACCCGGTCCTCCTCTCCGGCATCCGGGGCCGTCCACGAGCAGCAGGGCCCATTGATTGTTCATAAACGTTCAGGTCTTCCCCGCCATTGAATGTCAATGCCATCTTGTATCTCCACACTCGTCCTGTTATATTAATTTTTTTTTCCTTTCCCCCCCTTTTTTGTTTTGTTTCCAGTTGTCTAACGGGTTTTCTCACTATAGTTTATCAAGTGAGTCCCATGTGGGGCCCATGGGGGCAAGCCTTTTCCCTCATTGCCTGCCTGCCTCCCGCCTGCTCCCTCGGGTCACCTCTGTCCACCTTCCAGACTACGCTCATTATTACACCATTGGGCCCGGCATGTTCCCGTCATCTCAGATCCCTAGCTGGAAGGTTTGTGTCTCTCCTCCCTCCTCCCCTCTCTCCTCCTCTCCCCTCATTGCCTCTGTGCTCACCTCCTTCTGTCCCACCATCCTCACCCTGATGACCCCTCTCCCTCTTCCTTCACACTCTGCCTTCCTCTCCATAACACCTCTCCCTGAGTAAATTCCCACCAGGAGAGCCACAGAGCAGCAGGCAGCTTTGAGATAGAACTTTCCACCAGGAGCAGAGATGAGAGGCTCCCGTTACTAAACATTAATTAACCCCCATTGGATAGCAGACACAGATGTGACTTTGCAGGGACCTCAGTTCCAAGTTCAAAGTCCCAGTTATGCCCTGCTGGGGCCACTTGAGAGTGTCACCATGAGGCCCTTATTGGGTCATGGTAATAGCACCAGAACCCAAATATGTTTTGGCTTATGTTTTATCTTAAAAGTACACACAGATTTGATTTTTTAGTCTCAATTGTTTTATATTAAAAAGTGTGCTTTAATATAAAAACAAAAGTCCATTTGATGCCCAGAGGATATTTTGTCTTATTTTGAGAGGAGGTCCCTAATTTGAATAGTAGGCCCCTAGGCGGCCAGCATTTTGAACAGGTTTTAACTTCATCCCCAACAAGTGGTGTGGATCCCTCAGACTCCTTAGAAACCTTCCACCTGACCCCAGGTGCCTTCTTTTTGTATGTGAGGACCTCAAAGGACACAGCCCGAAGGGCCCTTTGGGGTCTAGTTTTCCCCAAGTGGAGGTTCAGCCTCAGCTGCAGTGGCTGCAGTTCCTTTAGTGCCCCCTGGTGGCCACTCCATTGAAACGAAGTCATTTGGGAGAGCAGGTTCCTTCAAACATCAGAAGGGAGGGTCTGGTCCCTGGCTGGTGCCATCAGACACCTTAGACAGTTGGTGAGCTGTTGTTGAGAACTTTTGTTTGGGAAGATATGAGGTAACCAGGGGGTCCCCAAAGGGTTTTCCACTCTAGAGCTGGGTGAGGGATAGAAGGGGCCTGCTGACCTGTCCCAGCCTGAGCTTCCCTAAGGGGACCAGCTGCCTTCTGTGGGCAGCTCTGGAAGGTCCGCAGCCCTCCAAATGGAAGCAGAGGCCCTGGTACCTGACTACATTGTTCTACTTAGGACTGGGCCAAGCCAGGGCCTTATGATCAGCCTTTGGTGAACACCCTACAGCGTCGCAAAGAGAAGCGGGAGCCGGACCCGAGCGGAGGAGGCCCCACTGCTGCAGGTGGCCCGCCTGCAGCTGCCGAGGAGGCTCAGAGACCACGGAGCATGACCGTGTCAGCTGCCGCCAGGGTGACGCTCTTGTTCTCTATCGCCTGTTGGGCCCCTCTAGACCTGGCTGGTGGCCACATGCTGACAACTGGGGCCAACTTGCCTTGCAGCTGGAGGGACCTGAGCCCCTTCCCCCCACTCCCTGCTCCCCAGTGTTTGGAAGGCCCCCAGGGAAAAGCCTCGTATGGGAATCAGACTCATTCAACTTTCTAGAGCCTGGGTAGGACCCAAGCAAGTTCATAGCCCATGGGCCCATAGACAGGTGGTGTTCACAGGCACAGACCAGGAGTAATATCCAGGTCCCACTCGAAGAGGTGTGGGGAGAGGCCCTGGGGATATAGACAGGGGATTCATGGCCCTGGTGGCTTGTCTGTCTCTGCTCCAACCTGTAGCCTGGTGAGGAGATGGAGGCTTGTGAGGAACTGGCCCTGGCCCTGTCGCGGGGCCTCCAGCTGGACACCCAGAGGAGCAGCCGGGACTCGCTGCAGTGCTCCAGCGGCTACAGCACCCAGACGACCACCCCGTGCTGCTCGGAGGACACCATTCCCTCCCAAGGTACGAGGTGGCTGGGCTTTCCTTCTGGCTTCCAGAGCAGTGCCTGGTGAGGAAAAGGGGTGGTCCTCCCGCTAGGCGGACACAGAAGGGTGGGGAGTCCTCTGAACCACAGCCAAAGCCTCTGCTACCAGACCGGCCTCAGAGCCATTGCGTCATCTTGGGATGGCTGTGGAGAGCTGGTCTGTCGCGGTCGGGTAGCTGCTGTAAGGAAGTGACTGGGTTGCTGCCACTTCTGATTTCCACTGTCATGGTGCTGGATAGTTCCCAGTCAGATGCTCTTCATGATGACATCACGTGTGTTTTGGTTCTTGATTTTTCCCATTCAGTGCTCACAACCACATTTTACATACACGGAAACTGAGCCTCTGTAACTTGCCCAAATTCACACAACTAGGAAGAAGCAGAGCTGGAGCTTGAACCTAAGGTCTTTTAGAGTCTGAAGCCCAAACTGTTAACCTATTCCAGCCAAACCCTCTCATCAGCCATGCCTCTCTCACCCCACCCCTACAGCACACCCAAGCCAACAAGAAGGCATCTTAACAACGAGAGTGGGCTGAGAGTTCTCAAAGCCCTAAGAGGAATTTGCTGTTCAGGGACATGGGCAGTGTCTGGAGACATTTTGGGTTGTCACACTGGAGAGGGTGCTACGGGCCTCTAGTAGACCGCCAGGGATGCTGCTAAACGTCCTGTAATACACAGCACACCCCCTTACCCACCTACAGTGCAGGATTTATCTGGTCCACAGTGGCAGTAGTGCTGCCATTCAGAAACCTGCTCTAATCCGAAGCTTCCCCCACCACACGAGTCCATTTGCTGAGAGGAGGAGAGCACACTTCAGTGATAGAACCTACCTTGTGCCTGTTTTCAGGGATTCATTGCCAGCACCTCCATTTATTCCGTAGCTCTCGCCTAACGAGTTAATTATGACGGAGATGGTAGGGTCTCAGAGAGTCTGTTAGGGGTTTGTTTCTCATGTTGAGATCTGGACTGGAAGTTTGTGGAAGTTCTCTGTCCACCCCTCCTTCTTCCCAGACATGTTGCGGGGGGGGGGGGGGGTAGCTCTGCCTTAGCCTGCCAGTTTTACAGTTGTCACCTCTCCACCATACTTGAGTGTGTGCCTGCCATGCCCAGCACGCACTGGGTGCCGTGGGTTACATCAGTGAACAGAATGAAAGTCCCTGCCAAGGAGTCCTTACGTGTCCAGTTTCGAAGGACAGCACATAAGCCTGGGGGAGGCTTGGGGACAGGACTGTGGCTAGTACCTTGCCTCCTATACCTTTTGTCCTCCCAACACACAAAAATCAGAAAGCAAAGCTGCTGCCTTGGAGATTTCTAATCAGGTCCTATCATCAGTTTCAGATTATGATTATTTCTCAGTAAGCGGTGACCAGGAGGCAGAGCAGCAGGAGTTTGACAAATCCTCCACCATTCCGAGAAACAGTGACATCAGCCAGTCCTACCGACGGATGTTCCAAGCCAAGCGTCCAGCCTCAACTGCTGGCCTCCCCACCACCCTGGGACCTGCCATGGTCACCCCAGGGGTTGCAACCATCCGACGGACCCCTTCCACCAAGCCTTCTGTCCGCCGGGGGACCATTGGAGCTGGTCCCATCCCCATCAAGACACCTGTGATCCCTGTGAAGACCCCAACCGTCCCAGACCTCCCTGGGGTGTTGCCAGCCACTCCAGATGGGCCAGAGGAGCGGGGTGAGCACAGCCCTGAGTCGCCGTCTGTGGGTGAGGGCCCCCAGGGTGTCACCAGCATGCCCTCCTCACTGTGGAGTGGCCAAGCCTCCATCAACCCTCCTCTTCCAGGCCCAAAGCCAAGTATCCCCGAGGAGCACAGACAGGCGATTCCAGAAAGCGAGGCCGAAGACCAGGAAAGGGAGCCCTCCAGTGCTGCTGCCTCCCTAGGCCAGATCCCAGAGAGCGACCCTGCAGACCTGAGCCCGAGAGAGAGCCCGCAGGGAGAAGACATGCTGAACGCCATCCGCAGGGGTGTGAAACTGAAGAAGACCATGACAAATGACCGCTCCGCCCCTCGCTTCTCTTAGGCTCACAACACCATTGCCAGTGGGGAATGAACTGTTCAATTCATAAAACCTAATTTGTCTTGATCCATTCCAATCTATAACCACACAAAAGATTTTGTAGGCAACTCAGAATACAGCTCTTTTGAAAGTACTTGACACCTTTAGATAAGAATTAAAAGCAACATATGTAACTGACATAATCTTGATCTTTTAAGTTGTAAATACTGACAACTTTCTTTCTGCACATTTTAACCTTAGTTTTCCTTTTGATTTTTCTGAAGGTGCCAAATTCCATTTAACTTTTTTACAAGTCTTTGTAAAATTTTAAATGCATAAAGGGGGTGGGGGGGTCAGGGCAGGGGGAGGTCAGGGCAGGGGAACCACAAAGTAGTTAATTTCAGAAAAAAAGGGGTAACTTTTTCTCTCTTTTTTTTTCCTGCAAGCTTTTGTAGATGCATCGTAGTAGTCTGGCCTAGAGGCAAATTCAAGTTATTTTAGTGTACAAACAAAATGGTAAGGGGTAAATCTTCATTTAAATATACTATGTTCTGAATGAGCAAAGCATAGTAAGAGTTGAGCAATATTCAGATTGAAGTGAACCTGGAGAGGGTAGACTGTTGGGATTGGGGGGAGGGCCATGGGAGGGGCACTGTGAACATAGCCAACCCGTCACATTTAAGAGTAGCCTCGTAGGTTGAATTTCTAGTAGCTTCATGGTTAATGCATCCGAATAAGCCATACTGGATTGCGGTGTTTGTTTCTGTACGGTGGTTAAGGACTTCTTCTCTCCCACGACTCCTCTGCACTGCACACAGCACCCACCTCCAATCCTGTGCATGCTCCTGCCCTGGGCAGACAGAGACTCCTCCACTTTAGCTACTCGTCTGTTATCCCACTTTCATCGAATCCAGACACATCCAAATGGGTAAGGCAGTTTCAAAAATGGGAAAACGTTTAAACACGATAGCAGGGAATTCTTAGATATAGCAAATGCCTTTCACTTAACTGTGCCCAGCAGGCTGGGTGCATTGTAAAGCCCAAATATTTTGAAAAAAACTAGAGCGGATTTAACAAGAGTAACCAGCTTAGAGTCCAGCAACTTGCCAATGTGTTTACCAATCCGGGGGCTTGTTTTTCTTAATTGGCTTTATACTAAACAATGAAGAGAGGAGGATTTATTTATTGTCACTGGGAATCTGACCACTAGACTGTACCTTTTTTTTGTATTCTAGGTAATGTTTTTTGGAATGGATTTATGTCTTTTCTTCTTTAAGTGAAAGTTAAATGCCCATCCCCTAAAGCCAACAGGGATTTGTAGATTCAGAGGGACAATGTTTGGAGAACATAAACATGAACAAGCAAGCAGTCCCCTTAGCAGTTGGGTCAGTTGAAAGTGTTCCTTTGTGATAGAAATTGTCAAGGGTGATAGGAGCTCGGTGGGTCCCACAGACCCTGCAGATTTCTGTTGGTTCATATCTTCAATTACATAATCTTATGCTTTAATACATAACTGCATTGGATGTGAGAGTAACGTACCTGTATAGTCATTAATTCTATATATTAACATTTAACACTGCTGTGATTGCTCAAGGACATTTTATGTTATGGCTTTAAAGCAAAGGCATGATTATTAGAAACTATTTAAGCTTTTTTTTTTCTTTGAAAAACAAGCTCCTTTTACAGAATATAAGCAACAGTAGTGCCTGTGGTTTAGCCCACCAATCTTGATGATTAAAAAGTAGCTGATGCATTGTGCATATGATGCTTGAGATGGTTTTTGCAAAAGCAGAAATCACTGCAAGGTAATTACAATAGATAAAAGTGATATTTTAAACCTTTGAAATAAATGGATGTAACTGTACCTTCGTACAGCTTTTCACTTGTTTAGTTTTTAAACGTTAGTATCATCTGAAGAAATTTAATATAAAATGTTGCCAAATTCAATGTAGAAAGAATGTGACGAAACACCTTGGGTAGTCCTGTTGTGTTTTTGCATATTGTAAAAGCAGTGTCACAGCTACAAATAAAGAAATCGTTTCTAAAGGTAAATTATTGTGGTTTAGTTTAGTTTGTATTGAGAGTTGACCTCTCCCTGTGCAGTTTTTTGTTCTAAACTTGTATAAATAACAATTGTGTATTGTGTTTTCCTTCTATCTTGTAACAATTGCTTCAGCCTACATTATAAATAAAGAACCACTAGGAAAAAAAAAAAGTCCTGTATTTCAAGTCTTATTAAAATTCAATTAGTCTTCATCACATGTCGGAAGATGGACTGAGACTCAGACTAAACTTACTTAGAAAACCAACAAAACATTATTTTTTTGATGATTTTGGGGCCTAAGAACACTAGTTGCCTGAACTAATTACTTGAATGTAGTTCCAATGCACTGTCAAGCACTAGAGGTAGCTGGGTTTGGTCCACCGCTTTTAGAATGGTCTACCTTTTTAAGAAACCTCCTCAAATGTCTCAAGAGTTCTGAAGGTGGTACCCTCACCTTGAGTCTCAGACCACCCTGGCTATGGTGAGGAAGCAGAGCTGGAAAACTGCCTCCAAAACAGGTGTCACCAAAACAGTTTCAACCCAGATTGGACCCTTTAACCCCACCCAAACTTTCACTCCTGAGAGGACCCCATACATTCAGGCTTATTTTTTGAATGTGTGCTTCTTAGAGAAAGTTGTCCTTTAATCAAAACTAAAATTGCCTCAGTAGAATCTTTAGAAAACCAAGACAATACCTTAAATCCTTATTATTAGCATACTTTCTCTTAGCTTCATGTTCCTTCCAGACATGGGAGCTAATTAAGCCTTCAACTAGAGTCGGTTCAGCCCAGTCTTCAGAGTAAATCTTGTATCTGGTTCTGTTCTAGTTTCCCTCAGAGAGAGCATGTGCTATCAGTATGACTTAATGGGGAAGAAAAGAACACATATGACTGACTGCATTTCAAATACTTTTCTTTCTATGCACAACTGTTAAGAAAACTGGTAAGACAGGCACAGTCCCCTGGCGCCACGTCACTCCTCAGACAGAAGAACACGGCAGTCATACCTTGTTGTTTTTATTAGGGCAAGTGTGTATTTTCTGTAACGCCTTCCACTTGCAAGCACGACTGGTGAGGTGTCTTCCTCTGTCTCTATGCAGGCCGCTCCCGGGGCCTGGTCACAAAATGCCACCACAGTGGGGGCAAATCACCTTCCTTTCGGGCGGGGGGCAAAGCTTCAGTGGTGGGACCACCAGCTGGGGTTTCTGCCTGCAGCTGCTTAACCTGGAAGGGTCAAGGAAGGAATGATGAGAAAAGGAACTGAATGGACTGCACCAGCTACTACAGTGATGTGTCAGCTGTCCCTGCCGTCTGTCACATCACACACTATCCGATCCTCGTTACTGGAGTGTTGTTTATACATACCTGCACTATTTGATACCCCGTGTTCTCAAAGCTTTTCCCATTCTTAAAACAGCAAAGCCTAAAAAACCCCTCACATCCCACCTTATTAACAAAAACCATGACAATTACTATTCCAATTCCCTGGTTATGGTCCCCCAACATTTACCCCTCCCCACCACAAAAATGGATTTTTGTGTCTCAGCTAAGTGTTCTCCAAAAGCACCATTAAGAAATCTCAATTCATATATATTAGGGGTATTCATTTTAAAGACCCTCTGCACAACAGCAATCAGGACAAAACATAACACGAAATCACAGGTAAAAATGTGCTCAGTTCTGCCTGATACTGCCCAACTACCCCCAGTTCCAGGGATCTCCAAAACTATCACGATCGCAACAGAGGAGGAAACTTAGAGACCCACTTTTCAGATCAATGGCTTTCTGAAGCTTCCTCCGGAAAGATCCATTCTGGATTGTAGTTAACTCAAGCCTCCAGCACATGAGTTTGTTTAATAATGTGGAAGAGATGATAGCAAGAGGAAGAAGGTTTCTGCGGAGGAGAGGAGGTTATCACAGTGATCAGCTGCAATATGAACCTCCTGCTCTCCCTGAATCAACAACACACCTCCGGTTTCCAAATGCTGAGACAAACACCTCGTGCATGCTTGGGATCCCATGCTTCTCAAAACCTTCCTCCTCCACCTTTCCATCTCTCAACATTATCGACTTCTCTCTAGCCCCAAATCTTCCAATCAGCCTATACTCGCCATTATTTCTCATCTTAGGAGATAATATTAGAAAATATTTAGCCTCCAGTCACTGTTGTGAGCAAAACTTGTTAAGATTATCTCTCCTCCTCATCTTCTCTTCCTCACTGTCTGCTTACTGTTACCAGTGTCGTTAAATCCTGCAGGAAAGGCTCCAGTCAAGACCACTAATGCCATTCCTGCAGCCAAACTCTCTGGACATCATTCCAGTCCTCACTCTGTTCCACCTTTTAGCAACTTTCAGTAAAGATGACTTGGCCCTGGCCACTGCCGAAACAGTTTCTCCTGGACTCTGTGTCACACCCTCCTGACTGCCCTCCCTTGCTGGATGCTCCTCAGTCTCCTGTTCCTGACCTCTATAAGTAGGTGCTCCCGCAACTTTTCTTCTCTCTCTAGTCTCCCATAAGGATTTCATCCATTTCAGTGACTTTGAAAACAACTGTTAGCTCACAGATTTCTATTTCAAGATCAAACCTCTCCTTTGAGGTCCAGATTCCTAAATTCAATGTCATCCACTGACATCTGCACATAATGTCTCACAAGATTCTCAAATTTAACATTCTTACATTTAATACACTTAAAACTGACACTTGAATGTCCCCCCCAGCCCCTGCTTCCCCTCTACCACACATCTTCCCTATCTCAATAAACACCATCAGCAAACTCCAGGTGTTAAAGCTTAAAACCTGGAAGTCATTCTTGAGTCCTCACTGTCCCTCCCTGCCCCATCGCCCACCCCCATCCAATCGAGCTCCATATACCTCCAAACCACCTCATGAATCTACTTCCGGCCATATTAACTGCATCCACCTCAGTGCTGGCTGCCATAATCTTTTGACTAAACTGCAATAACCTCAAAATTGGTCTCCCCACTCCTCACCTTATTCCCTCCAACACATCCTTCACACTACAGCAAGCCTGAGCTTTGAAAACGTAAAGTAGACATCATAAGATGACTGAAAGATGCCCAAGGCACTGGTGGAGAGGAAGGTTAAGGGATAACGGCATAGCAAGAAGGTTAATTAAGGCAAAAGACTATGGAGGAAAAGAAAGGGAGAAGCAAAATTAGAGACCAGAAAACCCAAAAGACCAGGAAACACAGTGTAACCAATTTGGAAGATGGTTGTAAATGTTACATTTAACACATTTGGAAACAAAATATATCTGAAAGGCAAGGGGCCAGAGTATCTGTCATAACTCTGGATTTCCTCAGTGGAGGACAAAACCGGAGCTCCTTCCAGGTGTTGACCGCATGGACCAAGCTATATGGCAAAATGCAGCTAAGACTCACCTCTCTATCCCAGCTTTCCCTCCGCAGTTTCTTCCACTGCTCTCTCTTGGCAAAGTAATCAGGATACATTGCCTTCTCAGAAGGATGCCAGTCATCTAGGCACCACTCAGGAACCTGTCAGGAGAGGAAATCATGATGTCATTACACAAGGTATATTTGCATACCACTGACAGGTCCTGCATAAAAGACAAAACTCAAGATGCATTTTTATAACCACTGCAAGTATCAGACTGTTTCTGACACCAAGCAATGAATAGCAGAAGACAGCAGGGACCCATATAAAGGAGAATACCTTTGAGTGAGACAGCCTGGGGCTGAGAGACAGCAAGGTCAGTTCAGAAAGAAGTGGCATCGTTCCTCCCCTAGCTAAGTTCTCTAAATATCCAGTGGAAATGTCACCTAGAACTTCTCAGAAATAGTAAGCACCAATCCAAATGCGTTTACCTTAAGGTCCAAAAATGAGTTATTTACCAAGTTATTTAGCACTGTGCTTCGCCAGAAAGAAACTACAAGCTGGATTTAAGAATTTTTTTTAAATCCTCACCCAAGGACATTATTATCATTATTATTATTACTTGCATTTATTTTCAGACAGAGTGGGAGGGAGAGAGGGGGGAAGAGAGAGAGAGAACCGTCAATGTGAGAGAGACACCCACACGACCCCAACTAGGGCCAGGGACAAACTGCAACAGAGGTACGTGCCCTTAGTGGGAACCGAACTCAGGACTCTCTGGTCCTCAGGCCAATGCTCTAACCACTGAGCAAAACCGTGCAGGGCAAGAATTTTTTAACTGATATTTTTTAGAGAGAGAGGAACATCAATTAAGAGGGTAGCATTGATTAGCTGCCTCCTTCATGCCCCCTACGGGGTATAGAGCCAGCAACCTGGGTGTGTACCCTCACTGGGAATCAAACCTTAACCTTTTAGTCCAGGGGACAATGCCCAACCAACTGAGCCACACCGGCCAGGAGAGGCTGTATTTAGAAAGAAAAGTGTAATGTCATCTAGGAGAAAACTGACACCTGAAGAAAAGTATCCACAATAGTCAGGAAAGAAATCTAGTTGGCCCTAAAAGAGTAACTTCAGAATTGGAGAAACAAAGTCCACCTCTCAGAAAGCAGTCGCCCATGTTGCCCTCACCTACCTTGTAACACTCGTATCTCTCATAGGAGGTGCCCCCGGGAGAGTCAGGGAAAATATATGGCTGAGGAT